CCCCCCCCCGCCCCGCCGCTGCCCTCAGGCCCAGCCTGGGCACCTGTGGCTCCTGTCACAGCCCCTCCCCTCAGACAGGACGACCCTGACCCTGCTGGCCCCCGGCACGTGTGCCAGGTCCTGCCTGCGCCCCTGCAGCGTCGCCCCCGGGGTCCCCTCTGCTCCTCTCTCCTCCCTGCGCTTCTGCAACGTCCCTGATCGTGTCTTGTCCGCCTGAGCTGTTTCTGGTCCGTCTCCCCCTCCAGACTGGGAGCCGGTGAAGGTCCGTGTTACACCTGCTGGCGGCCAGACTTCTGGGCTCACCCTTGGGGTGTCCGACACTGTTGTTTCTCAAAGCACCTCCACCCCTCCTAACGATTTCTAGGCAGGGATTGTTCTGGGCAGATGACCACTGAGGGCACAGGGACCGAGTCACCTGCCCAGTTCCATGGCTGAGGCCGAGGCCGCGGCACGACTGGGACCTGGCACGGGGATCCCGCTACCCTCCTCCAAACAGCTCTACCCCTAAAGAGCCCGACTGAGTGAACTCTTGCAGCCTCTACAAAAATATTTATCTGGAGACTCGGCAGGATGAGCTGCCATTCACCCTGGACTCTTCATGGAAGGGCCGTGAAGGCAGCCCCCCAGCCTGTCAGGGGCTGGAGAGAAAAGGGAACCTGCTTCCATCCACCGGGACCTCCCAGGCCTCACGGAGGCCGCTGGAGCAGGACCTGGGCGAAGCCGTCTCATGGGGGGCCCTGTCCGGCAGCCTGGCCCCCGGTCCCCAGAGCCCAGCCTTACCCCAGAAGCCCCAGCTCTGAGCAGCCTGCTGCCAGGACAGGCTCCATCACCCCGACCTTCTTCAAGGAAGGAGCTCCCCGGGGGTCCCGCAAACCCCATGTGACCATTGGGAAAGGAGGCATTATCCGGGGGTCCACGCTGCCTTAACTCCTTTGCTCTAGGGCATCACCTTGAACAGCCTGTAACTACAGTGTCCAGGTCAATGTTCTAGAAAGAAGCCTCAGCACTAAAAAACATTTAAAACACGCAGCGAAAAGCAGCGATAAGCAACAGTGTTCCTATTAGAAATTTTTCAGCATTTAAAGTTTCCCCAGACACCGGGGCATCAAAAGCCTGTAGAGACACAAAGAGCCGAGAGGGACCCAGAAAACAGAGCCAACGGGAAAGGCACGGGAGGGGAAACCAGAAGGGCACGGGGTACCTGGTGACTCCTGCACAGGAAGAGGGGGCAGAACCCACACGTGTCACCCACCCCGACCCTGAGGGCGTGTGTGACACACAGGAGGCCGAACGTGCCAGTGAACATGGTGCGCATGTGTGTTCTGAGGGCACAAGTAGCCGTGTGGGATGCCCGCCTATCATGCACGGGCTGTGCCTCTGACCACCAGCAGGCGGGCCTTTACAAGTCTGGTACCCACCGCATGGACATGCAAGTCCCCCACGTGCACGTGTGTTCAGGTGCACGGGTTGGGGGTGGCCCACACGGGGACCAGTTTCTGCACGGCTGTGGGATTTCAGTGCACGCGCACGCAGAAAGGTTTCCATCTAGAGAAAGCTCCCTGACACGGCAGTGCTGCCATCACCTGCTGGCTGCACACGCCCCTCTCCTCCGCAAACCCCTCCCCTGGGCGTCCAGGCAGAGGGACGTCATACTGACCAGTGACTGCAGGATGGCGTGGTTGGTGGCGTTCATGCAGGAGTCCAGTGGGAAGGAGCACTCCCCTTCACAGTAATAGGCTGAGTAGCCTTGGGGGGCGATGACCCAGTCCTGGGGGCAGGTAATGGGAGAGGGTGAGTCCCATTCATGTGCCCCTCCCGAGCCCCCCAGTCCAGCACCTGTCACAGCACAACTCAGGGCTGCCCCTTACTGTCCCTCAGCCTCAGGGCCCACCAACCCACCCTCGGGCCCCTCCCAGGGCAGTGTCCCCCAGATGCCTGACATCCACCGGAAGACCCTCAGCAGACAGGGCCGGGCACAATCTCCGTCCCCTTCATGTGCCATCAGCGCTCAGCTTCGTCCTCCCCAGCCCACCCCCAGTCACAGCAAAGGCCAGAGGCACTGCCCACCCTGGCCTCAGTTTTCCTGCTGCTGCTCTGACATTTTATGGCTAAGGATTCAGACAGTCTCCATTTTCATGGTTTTCACAAAAAAGCACTTTTCACTACAGAAGCAACACATTCTCCCTTTAGAGAACTTGGGAAAACACAGAGGAAAATAAAAAGAAAATGCAAATCCCCCAGGATTCTACCTCCTCTTGGACATACACTTGCCATCATCAAGATGGGGACTGTCATTTAGGAAAGAACGAGAGTCAGGAATTACCAGCCAGCCAAGGTCCCGGAAGCTGACATAGAGCTCATGCCGACGGCACACCTGTCGGCCGTGGGAGCCGTGGACGTCGTCTGTGGGGGACAGAAGGGGCGAGGTCTTTGCTGGGGTTCCTGCTCTGTGCACCCACCACAGGGAGCTCCCGGGGCGGGGGACGCCCTGATTGGCTCATTTGTTGAGTAAATGAATGATGGGAAACTAACCCATTTGGTCTCATAAAGCCCATCTCTGCAGCTCTGCTGGCGCCGTGACCCTGGTCAAGAACCTTCGATGGTTCCAGATGATTCCCCGTGATTACAGTCACCCCACGCTCAGCCCAGCCTCCCCTGACTTTCAGCCTGTGACTCCCGATGGTCCACTAAACAGCCCAGGGACCCTCTGCCGTCCAGCAGCCCCTCCTCCTTTCCTCCGGAGACACCCCTGACGTCATCCGCCTCTCCAGCCACGCCCATTCCACAGGACAAGTGGTTCCCACTGAGGCCAAGCAAAGCCTGGCTCCCCGTGAAGGAAAGGAGGGCACCAGGGGGCTCTGATCCCCAGGGGCTTGGCCTGGTAGGGACACCTTCACACAAACGCTTGGATCCTGCAGGGTGCCCGGGGCAGCACCGAGGGCCACCAGGGGCACCTGATTTTGACGAGGGGGTGGGGGGGGCCTGGTGAGCCAGGGAGGGCAGGAAGGGACTTCAGGGCAGCAGGGGCGGTGAGGGCAGATGCTCAGAGCCCTGGAGACATTGCAGCGGCTGGTCCCCAGGGTGCAGGGGCAAAGTGGTGTCAGGAAAGGTGGCTGGGTGACTGACCATCAGCCTGACCCCACTGAAGCCGGGAGGGTTCTGTCCCCACCACCTGGTCCCCAACCTCACCGAAGATCCCCGGCAGTTTGTTTGGGGGCGGCAGCTCGTTGGTTCTTTTCGGCAGCCTCCTCTTCAGGGGCCTCACCGCCCGAGGGGCTCGGACGGGGCCGGGGCTCGCCCTGAAAAAGGTGACCACGAAAGGCTGTTTGGAGCGCGGTGCCTGTTGCCCCAGCAGACCGGCCAGGCCAAGATCCACGCTGCGCCCTGAGACGGAGAGAGCAGAGAGGGCGGTCACTCGAGGGTGGGGCCCTGCACGGGGACACAGCAGGGACCTCTCTGTGGGCGGGCCAGGAGCACGGAGCCTGAGGCTGCAGGGGACCCACTGGGTCTCAGTCTCCTCTTCTGAAGACCTGAGTCCCAAGTCCAGCCCCAGCCCCCAACGGGCAGGTCTGCAGGAGAGGGGGAGGGTCCTCGGGAGCACAGGCTCGGGATTAGTGATGGTCCAGGGCACCACCCGTTGTGACAGCGCTTTACAGCTTTCAGTCAGTTCACGTGATGATCTCAACCAGTCTTCATGGTGACGCCAGACCCATCATTTCACTGAGAAGCATCAGAGCCCCTCGGTGACGGCTCAGAGCACCACTACCGGGGACTCTCAGAACCAGGGCTCCCATCCATCTCGGGGCCCCGAGGCCCGA